GGTCCTTCGTATCAAGAACACTATTTCTTGCTGCTTAGGAAATCCCAGGCATTCACTTTTTGATTTGGAGATACTAAGAGTCCTTTTCTGGAAGCCTAAATGGTGAAAGGATGATACGAAGGACTTCTTCATATTTGTAGATTTTTTTTTTTTGTAGCATGTCCTCCTAATCAGTCTTGTTTCACTTTGCGCCAAAACAATAATGTCTGCAAAGTCCAATAGTCAAAAAAATGCATTTCTCAATTGATAATATTGAAGTTGAATCCCCGAACCTAGTCATCCTACAGAGATCTCACAAACACATAATTCCGAATATTTTCAGGTCTTTGTGAGGGAGGGTGTGCTGCCATTGTGGATTCCGGGACATCCTTTCTTGCTGGTCCAACTGTATGCATTGGCACCATACTACTATTTAAATTTTCCCTATTTCTTAAGTCTTATTATTTTTCTTATGCATATATGCTAGCTCTATTTCAGACTATTGTGGCTCAAATTAACCATGCCATTGGAGCAGATGGCATTGTCAGCATCGAATGTAAAAATGCTGTTACTACTTACGGGATTCAATATGGGCATTCTTAATATCAGGGGTCTGCTTTGTTTCCTTCTCTTTTTTCACGTATTGTGACAATCTTAGTTTTATCATATTTCCTTTCAAGGTTGATAAGTTGTGTCTCTTAGCTTTTGCTTCCCCTGCTTGCAGTTACAACCCGAAAAAGTATGTTTTGAGGTTGGACTCTGTTTGTATGATGAATCTCAAGCAATAAGGTTAGATTCTCTTCCTATCTTATTTTTAACCTTGTCTCTGTGAGAATAATTTGCTCCATGTTTTACTCTCAACTGCTAACAGAAACTAAATTCTGAATCTGTTGTACAGATCCAGTATTAAGATGGTGGGCAGAAGTCAAAAAAGAAGTGAGAGTGCTGTGTGTACGTTATGCGAGATGATAGTTTTCTGGATCCAAGTGGAGCTTAAAAAACAGAAAACTAAGGAAAAAGTTCTTAAATATGTTGACGAGGTGAGTTTTTCTTCATAACAATACAACAAACTCATCGAATACGAGCTGTCTAAAGAATTCTGTTTTATGTTGAAGCTGTGTGAGAAGCTTCCCAATCCTGGAGGAAAGTCATTTATCAATTGTGATAACATCGCTACCATGCCATTTGTTTCTTTCACCATCGGGGATAAATCTTTTCCCCTCTCTCCAGAACAGGTGTGTTTTAAGTCATAATTATAACTTTCTTTCTTCAGAATTGTACTGTAATATAATCTGTTTAGAGAAGCAACCATGAGATGAGATGACATCATAGACTTCCAGAGACCTAAGCAGACAAGATTTAATACTAGCATAACTAGGATGATCTCATCTGCCACTTGTTGCCAATTAAACCTACCCACTTATCAAGCCAGATGGCTCTGTCATTCTGTAGCATAAAATTGTTGTTCCTTCCTTCAATAATAAAATCTGTTTTTGCTTTGTGCAATCCTTGTTGTGATCAAATTATAAACTTTTGTTTCTTCTATCTTTCAATTTTACATTAGTACACTATCAGAGTAGAAGGAAAATGTTCAACCGTCTGTCTTAGCGGGTTTACTGCTCTGGATGTCCCTTCCCCACAAGGGTCCCTCTGGTATGTATTTGAGTTTATTGCAACGATCTATTAGTACTAGTGCGTGCACCTATTCAGTTTCTCTTCTATGTGCGCGTCTGTCCAATACAATGTGAATTTCTTAGTGCGTTTTGGACACAATCATTTCCAGCTACACTAACAAATTCATATGTACGACATGCGATTACATGTATACAGGGTTCTTGGAAATATTTTCATGGGAGCATACCACACGGTATTCGACTTTGGTAATCTACGAGTGGGATTTGCACAAAGTGCCTAGTACTGTACCATTTTTCATAGTGATTAGATTGTAAAGGGATGATAATTTCTGGCTTCACCTAGTCACTCAATGGTGCTTATGTAAAGTTTATTTTGCTAGGTATTTCTATTTTCATTTTCATTTTCTTTTTCCCATTTAGGGTTGATGTGAAGGTAGGCAATGCATCTATATGAATAAAAAAAAAAAAGCCATCCTGTACCTGATCTGTACACTTTTTTGCTTGTCAATCTAATATCCTAGTTAGCTCAAGGTTGAAAACCACCATAACAACAGTGGCGATACGCACTATAATAATGTCAATATTAATAATGTTAATAATAATGTTAAGGTGCATCCACAGGATTACCCCACTGTGTGATTATATTGGCGATCCACTACAAATAATTAATCATGAGTGATTAAGGGATTATGAGTGGTTCATGTGCAAAAAAATATGAGTACTATAGACATTTTAGAGCAATATAATTATTAAATTAATTGTACGTTCTAATGTTAGATGAGTCCCATTTTTATTTGATCTCTAAATTAAGTTCAAATAATAATGAAGCCAATTTTCAGGCACAAATGAACAATTGTTACCAAACAACAAAAATGAAATAACATCAAGAGAAATCAATACATTTGAAATTTTGCTTTTGTTTTCTCAAAGACCTGTTCTGCAATGACAGCTCCGCTCCCATCTGCCCTTTTAATTTCCAAGTGAGCTTTTTGATAGAAGCTAGTACCCCTCAGTGCATCAGCAATGAAATCGTCAAATCCAATAGCTATGGCTGCCTCAGCCTTCGCTCCATAAACCAACCTCTGTTTGGCATGCACAGTAACATATTAAGCAATAAGATGTTAAGCCTAACACTCAAAATAAGTTATTGACCCATCAAAATCTTCCATCCTAACACGCAAATGACAGCAGAGAAAAGAAAGATGATAGTAGCGTAACCTTAATTCGAGAAAGGTGAATAGCACCAAAGCACATGGGGCAAGGCTCACAAGAGGCATATATTTCACAGTCTGAAAGCTCTACTTGATTAAGCTGTTTGCAGGCCTGATGAAGAAATCACGGGCAAGAAGAGTAAGGATCATAAGATTTCCAAAAGTACCAGTAGTCCAGATTGCCAACACCGGATGCTAAACTTATAGCAAATCAATCCAAACATGGTTTCAATCAATGCAAAAAATAGTCTTTAACATAGAAACATGTAAACATTCAGTAGTGCATTCTCTCTCTCTCTCTTTGTTTTTCCATTCCTTCACTGTAACCCTTGATGTATTTTTGCGTCATCTAAAATGAGAGATCCATTGCCATAGGATGTGATTATATACATTGTCATAACTCTCCAGTTCTCAAGCAGTTCAAATTGAGTGATTAGATATGAGCATCGTATGGAACGATAAAATTTTGGGATAAAATATAAAAATAATTTATTGTAAGAGTGTATTGGGTATATCCAAGGATCAAAATATCGTTTTGAAACAGTCGAAACGTCCGAAACGATTTCGTTTTTAAGAAGACCGAAACAAAACATTGATAGAATCGAAATTCTGATATTTCGAGGTATTCCATAATGTTTCTAGATGTATTATAATATTTCAATGCATTTGCACAATTGTTTTGGAATGTTTCAAGATATCTCAAGATACTTTTATACATTTCCATCAATGTTTTAGAAAAATAATTCTTAAATTTTTTATTATGTTTTCGAAACAGGTCAAAATGTTTCTGTTTTCTAGGTGATCGAAACGATATTTTAATCCCTGGGTATATCATGTCTTTTTAAATTTTTTTATTTGACAGTTACTGATTATTTAAAGTTAGGCCTATTTTTATTTGTGCTGCCTGTATATGTAGGCTCAAATTGTAATGAGACTCAGTTTTTGGCTATTCGAAAATTAGAGACTTTTTCTCCACTCTCCCTCTCTTCCCTCCTTTTCCTTCTCCTCTATTGTCCTCATATTCTTATTCCCTCTTCTTCTCTGTTTTTTTCTTCCACTCTCTCGTCTTTCCTCACTACCCTGTTATTTCTTCCGTCCTTTCTTCACTTTCTCTTCTCTCTCTACCTCTTGCTTCCCCTTGCTCCTCCTCTTCTCTCTCTCTCTCTCCATGTACTTACTCCTTATCACCATATCTCAGCTCTCATTAACTGAAATATGCTTTCCTGTCCTGACTGAGTTCTCAGACATCAGCACGAGACTTACCAGCCAACCAGTAGTCCCAAAGGAACTAGAACCATCTTGGTGTCAACACTAAAGTTTCTTTTCCAAAATACGTACTTTCCAAGGTTTATTTTATTAATAATCAGATTGAATTCCATCATAATTGCTACAACTACGATTTGCAGTACATAGCACAAATGATACATGTTGAAATTGGTAGAGCATCCAACCCAAAACTAATTGACAATGAGTGGAGAGACCCCTAAGAATATAAACCAACCTCAAGTGGTCCTAATCATTCAATGTGGGATATAAGATCTCCTTACACCTGCCTCACATAAGCCTTGGTCTCACATGTAGGGCTAACAAACAAAAGATAAATATGCAGAAATTCAAATGGGTAAAAGATTTGGCCCACCGACCACCTAAGGCCTGCTCTGATACCATATTAGATACACAGGTACACAGAAAATAGTCCACATGATGAAACTAGTAAAATCAGTGGCAACAGAAAAAGCAAATCAAGAGCTGCAAGGACCTCTTAATCATATGCTTCTTAACAGAATATATTGGACAAAAACACTGCTTACAGTTAAAGAGCACATGACCGGAATAGTTGAACTTTCAAACTTCTACTTGCATACCCTTTGTGATCCAAGAATCATACATAAACTGATGGAGACAAGTGGCAGCAAGCTTATAAAGTTTATAAAAGGCGCGGGACACATGCTTCCAAGGCTTGAGACTACATGAACTCACAGGCAGCATAGCTGTTTAGCATTCCATGGATAATGCATGAATCTCTTTTTCCACATTTGACTAGAACACTAGAACTCTTATATTTCAATTGGGCAGAAAAAGTGAGAGATTTGACTATTACACCGGGCCAGTGAGGTCAAATTCTTTTGCAGTAAATCAAGTGAAAATTGGAGGATGAGAAAAAGACTTACTTATTTCCCTTTATTTACGGAGGTCATGGGCAGGAAATTGTTTCATGCAAAGTTAGCTATTGTAAGGGATGAAACCCTCCACTCAGGATTTCGGCTTGACCTCCGCGCGTTCGGGAGTAGCCTTTACCCCTCTTCCTGAGCCGGAGCCCTGGCCTAACCTAATGTGGGGAGGGCGCACCGTATCCCACATCGGAAGAGAGTCGTCTTCCCCCCTCGCATATAAGCCCTTGCACTCAAAGGAGGAGGTACCCACTAGTACCTGATCAGGTGCCTAGTGGGTACCTCCTCCTTTGAGTGCAAGGGCTTATATGCGAGGGGGGAAGACGACTCTCTTCCGATGTGGGATACGGTGCGCCCTCCCCACATTAGGTTAGGCCAGGGCTCCGGCTCAGGAAGAGGGGTAAAGGCTACTCCCGAACGCGCGGAGGTCAAGCCGAAATCCTGAGTGGAGGGTTTCATCCCTTACATAAAGGCGCCTTTCTGTAAGGGGTAGAACCCTTTACTAAGGATTTCAGCTTGACCTGGGTTAACCCACGCGGGCGTCCCCCCAGTAGCCTTTACCTCTCTTCGCCAATAGGGACCCTTTCCTAAGGCAATCCCACATCGGAAGAGAGTCGTCTCCCCCCCTGCCATATAAGTGAACACTTCCTATGGAGGAGGTACCCACTAGGCACCTGATCAGGTCGCTAGTAGGTACCTCCTCCATAGGAAGTGTTCACTTATATGGCAGGGGGGGAGACGACTCTCTTCCGATGTGGGATTGCCTTAGGAAAGGGTCCTATTGGCGAAGAGAGGTAAAGGCTACTGGGGGGTCGCCCGCGTGGGTTAACCCAGGTCAAGCTGAAATCCTTAGTAAAGGGTTCTACCCCTTACAGCTATAAATGCCACGCTAGCGAAAACATATAGGGACAATTTCCACTACCAAATTTACTCTAAACGAAGTCTTCCAAGCTACATAAGACGAAACATTTGTGCTCTAACCTCTCTTATAGCAGTCACCTCTGCATGGGCAGTTGGATCTGTGTTCCTCAAAACCATGTTGTGACAACTCACAACTATTTCATCGTCACGGACAACAACAGCACCAAACGGACCCCCATCTCCACATTCCACCCCTTTATATGCTTCTTCAACTGCTTTTGTTAAATATTTTTGGTCTCTATCGTGTACAACTGATACACAGAATGCACAACAAAATTTATCAAAAAATAAAATTGGAAGAAAAGTAATAATATCCCCAAAAAATATAATTTCATGATCCACCAATATATGATTCTTGTAGGATCATACAAACATATAAACACCTGCTTACCAAACTGATGCAAGCATACACATTCCATCTAAATTAGCTCATTACAAAATTTACTCATCAAAACATAAGTCATAATTTTGAAGACTCAAAATTGCAATGATGGGACAGAACTTACTACATGCTAAAGCTTATACATGCAGAACCAGTACCTTCTTGATGCCCGGCAAATGCAGAAGCCACAGATATAGTTCCATCTTTAGTTTCCACAGAAATCAAGTTAGATGAATGAATGTTGTTTTTGAATCTAGCCAAAAAACAGAAACAGAATATTTCCATTCGACAATTTGGAAGTAAGATGGGGATTTAATCAGTCAATTAAGTGCACATATACAATGAACTCATGTTAATGGTTTGTGTGTTTAATGGAATTTGTCCGTGCCATCTAATTGAAGGTGTCAAGTGTGTTTTACAAGTCAATTACTTGTCCTACAATTTAAAATATTTTTTATGGTCTTTGTCTTTGGATGGAATTTAAGCAGGTTATATGATTATATCAGCATTTTCATAACCACATGAATTTTTATTTGCTTTTGCATTCGTCGTGTAGATGTAACGCTCTCTAAAACGTTTTTAATGGATAATTCTTGTAATTGTAAAGAAGCAATTAAAAAAAATCCCAGCTAATGAACCCATCTCTCAACACGTAGTTTTTGTGAGATTTCATCTTTTTCCTGGGTTCAAACTTGAATCAACAGCTACGTGAAGGTGGGGAAAAAGGGAGAGGGGAATTGAAAGTGGATGGGCCATCAGACTTTCGTTGGGATACTATACTAACATAAATAATCGTATAGAGAAAGGAAAAAAGTTAGAGAAGAAACTGTGTAAATGAACAATGCCAAACTACCCACATGTATCTTCATTAGCAGCATCATATACCTGAAGGAGCAAAACCATATCTATGACAATGTTGATATAGCACTCAAAACAATCCTCACAACGGAAAAGGCCAATTAACGAACCAAAAAAAAAAAAAAGGAAAAAGTCGTAATTGTTTGATTCCATCAGAAAATGAAAATCCCCACCAAGCAAAACACAAAAACAGTTGGGGGATGGGAGTTGCTGTCACTTACCATTAGCTTCCTCCATACGGCTCAGTCGTATGATTCCCGAATCGAATCGAGTCAAAAGCAGATCAGACAGATTCGGATGAGTGGGAGAAAAATGAAAGACAAAAACAGTAGAGAAGAGGATCCACAGAATGGGAAGCTGAAGATCCAGAGATGTCCGGTCCTCCTAGTTAGTGGTTCCACTGCCTTCCCTTAGGCCCTTGCAAAAATGAAGAAATGAAGGGGTTGATAATAATTATTTATTTTTTTCCTTTCACTGTCTACCAGTTTTTGACTTCACCACCAATTCCTCTCACAAGTCAAGTGTCAACATCGGGATTTAATTTAATACTCAAAATAAAATAAAAAAGGGTATAATTACTAATATACCCCCATATTTTCGAAGTCGAACTCGAACTCGAACTCGAACTCGAACTCATGTGGATGGGGGGGGCGACGCCGTTCTCTGCTCTTCCAAAACTCACCACCAGTCTTAAAGCCTGGAATCCCACGCCACTTTCCGGTGGCATCGATTTGTCTGAACAGAACATCAATCGTCTTCGCCGTAGCCGGCAATGGAATAATTTCAAGGGTGCAGAAGCAGAAACTGGAACGTTCATCATCATCAACATTCAAAATGGCGTCTTCTTCTCCGCTGATTGATTTGGGGAGGAGGCAGCTTAGGATTCGACCCAGTCCTGAATTGGGTCTTCTCTCCCTCTTGTTCGTCCTCTCCACGGTAACCTACTTTTCCTTTTCCTGTTATTTTTTCTCACAAGCACCACCGCTTTACCTAGACAAATTTGAACTGGAGCACATGTTCATTGATATACGTCAAATGAATATATACATATGACATGCTCCCATTGGTTCAGGCTATTGGAGCAATTATTTCCTTAGCTCTGATTTCCACTCCGACTATGACCGTAAGTGTAGTGTTATGAATTTTTGCTTGCTATCACTATTTTATCCACACACATCTACATACATACTTACATGTTCTACTATGTATAGTCTCTTGCAAGATTTGCAGCTTCCATGCATAAATTGTCCAAAGTTGTCTCCGAGGAGGTGCCCGGAACCTTGTTCTCCCTCAAACTGTCCGGCCTAGAGATAAACGATTTGACCCTAAAGCTTAGCAATCTCAGGTATTATTATCCTTATTATTATTATTATTACCATTATTACTACTGTGTTTATATTTATTATTTGGGCAAACTTTACCATTTGGTTAGAACTTTTTGCACATCACTCCATTTCTAGAAATAGTCTTATAGTCCTCAAATGGTTTGTGTACTTACCGTCAAAATTTTGGTGCAAATTATCAGGAGAGGAGGCATGAATAAAACCCTTGTCTAAAGACAAAAATATTCTTATATGTTTTTGAAAGTGCAAAATGCCACTGGGCTCGACCCTGATATATTTTTCTTCATCAGGCATTCTCAATATCCTCTCTCTCTCTCTCTCTCTCTCTCTCTCTCTCTCCATAGCCAATGCCAATAGCCATCTACCTTATCGCCGGCGGACGTCAGCAAACCGCCAGGCAAAGCCAGTCGTGAGTTATTGGAGCAACAACAACTCTATGAAATCTTGATTGGAGTAATGTAGCCATAGAAGATCTCATCAAAGCCCTCCATGAGGTTGACTCGTCGTCAATTTGATAACTACTTGAAATAGGGCTGGTAAACGAACTGAATTTTTTGAGCTCGGCCCGGTTTAACCTCGACTTTGGCTCGTTAAAGCTCATTCATGTTGTAACATTAGCCAAAGCTCATTAATGATCAAGTTCGTTTTGTATATGAGTCAAGCCTAAGGGATTGTGAGTCGCAATCCCTTTTTCTTCTATATGTTTGTCTATTGCTTTCGCTCTCTCATTATTTCCTCTCAAATTCTCCAGTCACCTTACTTCTTTCATTATGCAGCTCTCTCTTTCTCACTTAAAATTTTTGTATCTCTCAGATGCTCGACACTACCTATTACTCACTGCGTATCCCACCTCTCTCATCCCCTCCCTCACTGTTCGCCTCCCAGACTCCTTCTCCACCTCTGTGTCACTTTCTCTACCTCTTTATAACACTTTGCCTCTCATTCTCCTCTTCCAAAACCCAATTCCCACACCTCCTCTATCATCTCTTCTAACAAACGATCTTAGTCATGGCGGTGGCACCATCAACACCAATGAACGAAAACACAAGAAGAAAATTTGTACGTGGTTAAACTAGATCTCAGTCTCTCTCTAAGTTCTCCTTAAGTCTCCTGTTTATAGCTCCATTATTTATGTTGATATTTGAGTTATTGTTGCTCTACATGATGGAGATAGAAAAAGGATTTGTTAAGCTTGAAGAATTGAAATTTATTATTTATTCTGGTATTATTATATTAATTAGGAAATATTTGTTTGGCTAGGATTGTTAGTAATATTGATGAGATTTTATTGGGAAATTATTTTAGAATTTGACTAGGAAGCTATTATAAAGTTTTAATAGAAGTAATTTGAGAGTTTGATTATTAGACTATTTTAGACTTTTAGTAGCAAAGTAATTTTTATTTTAGTAGGAGATTTAGCCTATAAATATTGATGTATCACTGCTATTTTCGTTAAAGATTATGAATATAAATTTATTATTTTCAGTGGAGATTTATGTTTCTTGACCTAGCCCTTGCGAGATTTGGTGACCCCCTGTTCTTCTCTTTCTTTCCTTTCCCCTCCTCTTCCCGTTTTGCATCACTATGATTCTTTGATATTGCTCATGATAACTCGTGTTATTTTATTAGAATATGTTGTGTCTTGATTCAGATATATTATTGACAGAGAATAATCATAGAGGGGAGAGAGAGGGTGCGTTGGGGTTGAATTTTGACATGGTATAATTAGACAATTTAAACTGTTGATTTGATTGGATCTTTTGATTTGGTTGAATCTTCTGGTTTATTTGTTTGGATATTTTTGTTATTCGAGATTGAGCACTTATTCAATTGATTATAGTAAACCTTATGGTAAAAAATGAGCTTAGCAGAGCTCAAGGTTTCACATTCCAGCTAAGTCAAACATGATAAAAAATCGGAACCTGGTGTTCAAGCCTAAGATAAATATGAACGTCCCAACATAAATTCAAGTTGAGACAGTTAAATGTGTAAATCATATCAATTTATGGTCGTTCATGCTTGAACATAACCCAACTTTGAGCTTGCAAGTCATGACAGTTAAATGTGTAAATCATAACAATTTCTGGTCATTTATGCTTGAACGTAACCCAACTCATTTATTATTTGAGCTAGCAACTCATGTCATTTTTTGATTTTGTGTCAAATTGAGTCGTGTCAGAAATTACTAACCCTTTGTGTGGGTGGTGAATTTTATTTGCATTGAGAGTAGTGACTGGTAGATGTGTCTGGTTAGCTTGTGGTGGCATTGTGATGCGTGAGTGGAGGTGCAACTTTGGTGGGGTTGTTCGTTGGTGGATGGGTGATGTGTGTGTGAAGGTCCAGCTGTCAGCTGTGGTGGGGGTGGTAGTGCCATGGTGGTGGGTAGTAAGGTCATTTCACCCTTGCTTTAAATGGTGATAACGGAGCCCTTTAATCCATAAACCATATGAGGATCATGCAAAATTTGTAAAGTTGAGGTGGGTGACATACAAAGAGGTCTAACCAAATGGGTTAAATGAAATTTGCCATTATTATTATTCATTATGTACGCTGTCAATCCATTTGTACCATATGCTGATGTCTTGAGCTGTCAGGCATTTGTATATTAGATAACATGTTGTTTACTTGTGGGTTGTCAAGTCAAAACATATCAGGAAGTCCATATGTAAGGGAAGACAAGAAACAATAATCACAGTTCTACCGGATTTGGAAGAAGGAATTACCACTATTGCAACGGTTACAATAGTCACAGGGCAGAGTTTACCTGGTTTGGAAAGATACATGAGGGCATTCTATGGTTCCCGACTTCATAATACTTGCTACATCTTCTGAGTTCTGAGTATGTAATTTTGGGTATCCACACTCTTTGCATAACAGGTTCATTTCTGCCATTTCTACTCATTCTAGACTATGCTTGTTATATTTTGCTCAATCACTTCTTTTTATGCCTCTGTAGATTTTGTATATTGACTCATTTGAATGATAAAAGCCAACTTGAGGATATATAGTTTTTTCCTTTCAGTTGGACTGGATTTAATTTCGTGTAGGTGTATCAAAATTGCGTTGCCGCATACAATTCAAGTGTAAAGCCTAGAGGAGTCTCATTTCAATGAGCAATCTAGTAATGTACCAATTAGAAAGGGTTATGCAGTTGGGAGTAGCTACGAACACGTCATTTCTGTTTTCTAGCAGTTACCACGTTATCTCTACGCCAAAAACAAGTGTGAAGATGTAACAGAAACCGCAGGGCTTTCAGTGGTGAGATAGGAGGCATATCATGTACCTTTTTACAAGAGACAGAAACTAAGACGAAGAAGTTGGTTCCTTGAAGAAGTCTGGTTTTCTGCTGTGCTTTTGTGTGAAATGATCAACTCAACACGCCCCATTTTAAGGATTATCAAAAAAGCGAGAATTCATGACACAGTTATGCGATTCATTGGTAAGCTGGTTATGTCCAGAACTACAAACAAGGAACGCCTGCTAAATGTTTGTTACACTGGGGTAGTAGCGGGCATCAAATGTGAAACTTGGAGATTTAACTACAGTGAAAATATGTCGGCTAATCCAGATAATGATTTGCTTGACGAACTGGATTCAGAAAATTAGTCATTTTGAATACGATGATTGGTTTCCAGTAAAATTGTTCATCCAAATTCAAGAACTCACCAGTTACATACACCATTCTCCCCAAATTCCGAAGGCACGCAAAAAATTAACTCCCCACCTACTCTCTCTCTTTTGGCACTCTTTTGGATCAACAACATATACATTGGCGAACGAGAGAATTTTCTTTTTTTGACAAAAAAGAACTCTACTAACCAATTCTTCAACCTAGTATGAGATACAATGGATGTATTAGAAAGCAGAGATGAGCTTAGGTTTAGAATCCTTTTTTTTTTTTTATGTAACAAGAAAGCAAGGTTGTTTGTAATAAGAAGGGATGATCCTTTGTTTTTCTTAGGACTCTTCAAGAGCTGTCCCGAATACACATCATATGTCACAACATTGTTTACAGGGATGAAACTGTTTGGTAGGTTTAGAAACAATGCAGTGAAGTGATAAACTCATAATTTTGCATACTTCTTGAGATTTTCACCAGCATCTTTGGCATGTTCTGGCACGGGCATGTTAGTTAGAAGAGTAACCCTTGATGTTGATATCAGAGATTTGTTATCTGAGTTTGATGGTTCAATCTTCCAGAGTCGCACCTCCCATACCTGCACATAGATGCCACACCCATGACCACGAGAGAGTGTTGAGTGATTTTCATTTTAGAGTAAATGCACATAGTGTCAAATATGTAGAGTCCAATGCGTCCCGACAGTCAGGCGATCACAAGATACATTCAACCACTATCCGTTGTTTCTGTGCAAAAGATTCCCGTTTTGGAGGAATTAATAGGTGATTTGTTTTTTGAAAGTAACTTAATTGGTTTGCTTGTGGATAGTTAGTTGAATTAGTATTTGGCATGGTGCTCTGTTTGTGATTGTGATCGTGATCGTGGTTGGTTGGGAGTGTTTTAAGTTTTTTCATTTGGTTGGGGAGGCGTGCATATGTGGGTGGGGGCTAGAGTTCAATGCCACGTCTTCGTCAATGTGGATGGGTGGATGGATGGATGGCATTAGTTAGTCAAGTCAGATTACACCATCATATATATATATATATATATATGATGGTGTTAATTAAGTGGATGAGCAGAATGTGTAAATTACACAAATCAGCCCGAATCTAAGTGTTACAAAGTTTGTGAGGATTATAATTAGGTTCTTGGGGAGTTTAGATGACTTGTCCAATGAAATTATAGTGGTTTACTGAGCTCGAGAGCTCGACTAGTCCATTCTTAAAGGGAATTTTTTTCTCCTTGAATCTATATTGATGGTTGCTATAAATTACAAAGTGTTTCTCATACAATCGGGGGTTTCTCCTCCTCAATGGAGGCCCTGTTCAGTATTTATAGTCCGATTCCAATCTCTAAGAGATTTGCAGCGAGATCCTTGTCCTTCATCTGCGGGATTTCACTTAATTTTGGGAGAGGATCTTGGGTGATTGAGAGTTTCGTGCCTTAATTATTGCCTTATGTTGTTTTGGAGATGCCTCTTGTTAGCCAACTGTTCTTTTCTCATCCCCTTTACTCTTTTATCTGAAGGGAGCTCGAGGTCTGGTCCTCTGAACTCTGGGCACCTTATCTGACCTCCTTGTCTGACCTCCTTTCCCGAACTCGTACTTAGCTAAAATACTTTACATGTATCATCAGTTGTTTTCCAGCCCTTAGTTCAAGCAGACTTAGACAAGGGCTGAACTAAGGCTGAGTTGAGGTAGACCTCCATCTGGTGGCCTTGATATGCGTGCGAACAGGTTTTTGATGGTTATAAGTAATCATTTTTTCACTCGTTTTTCGTGTACGTTCTCCTCTTTGAAATCTCACGTACTGTTAGCTTTAAATGCCCTTAGATTGATGGGAAACGACTCTCATTTCCTTCTTTGAATTCTCTCTCCAAGCGTTACCCTTTCTTCTTTTCTCCAATCCGGCTAGTGTCACTAGGGTTTTGCAAAAAATCGATTCCCTTTGATTCGACTTGAGGTTTCAACAGAATCCGCTCTTCGTCTTTGTCTTGAGCTTTGGCCCACCGTTTATCCTTACCTAGGTACGCTGCTTGTCTTCTGTTCATTTGTTCGTTCTGGATCCCTCGAATTTGAGGTGGTTTCTAAATTTTTGGACTTTCCGATTATGTTATTTTAGGAACCGAGGTCGCTCCTTGTCTTGTATTCACCTCTTTCTAGACCCTTATTCTACTGCTAGGATCTTTGTCATCGGTCGCTGGTGTCTTGACCCCTTGACTCTCAGAGAGTGTTTCTCAAAGATTCCTCCTTTTTATAGGTCTTTTAAACTTCCTTATTATTGCCCAACTGTGTATGCTTCTTCCGAAGCCATAGACTCGTCTATTTCCCTCATGGGAGACATGTCTCCCAAAGCAAAGGATATTGATTTAGGAGACGTGGGAGAAGAGATTGATAGCTTTTTTGGTGTTGATTCTGTCGACATCGAGAAAAATGTTGAGGAGCCTCCTTCTTCGTCCTCCCTAATGCTTAAAAACTCCAACAAAGGTAAAGCCAAAGTGAGTGACATGGGGATCTTAGGTAGTGCTGAGAGCGTAGGGGTTGCCTCTAGAGCTTCAAAGCTCGTTGGTGCCAGTGAGGTCTCTCATATACAAATGAAAGTCATAGCTGCTCGTTTTGGTTTTTACCAAGGTGTATAGTTCTAGTGCCCAGACGAATTTAATCAATATGACTCTGAGGTCCCAGAGAAGATCTGCTTCTTCGTAGCTTCTCTCGAGAACGAGCTCAGATTCCCTGTGCAACCCTTTATCAAGTTTGTCCTCCAACACTTTAACGTCTGCCCTACTCAAATCTCTCCTAACTTTTGGGGAGTCTTGGTGGGCCTTTTGATTTTTTTTCAAGAAATACAAAATTGGCACCCCTTCTATTCCACTGCTCATGAAATTCTTTAATGTCAAATTCAATCCGGACGATTTTTGTATATTTGCAAACTGGTGAATACCTCTGCCCTGATCACTGACCTGCCCAGCTCTCATAAGAACTGTAAGAAATAGTTCTTCTTTGTGTCAAGCAAGGCGTGAGAATTTAACCCCAGTGATGCCACTAACACTCTTCCAGTCCCGTGCTCCTGGGCAGGTCCAGATAACCTGGGTAAGCTTAAGGTTTTGAGAAAGGCCCCCTCTATTTTCCTCTTGTTGTTAGATGTTGAGCTTGTTTCCTTGGTTGTCCCAAGTATTCGTCCTGAGCTAGGAGGGTTCTGCTCTTTTTCAGAGATTGAAAATCAGAGAGGTACTACACTCCGATCGATCATTCCGAGCTCACTAGACTAGGTTTTAGCCCTCCTATGGTGAGGATTGAGACTTCTATCCCCATCTCCGTCGCTAGCGCCGAGGGGGCATTAGGTAACGCTTTCTATGCCTGTTTCTGGCTTTCAGCTCTCCCTCCTTGTTCTCTCTTGTCTTTAACTGGCTCATTTTGTGTTTCCAGGTTCTTTTTCAATGAAGCCTACTCAAGAAGCACCCCAAGCCAAGGTTGCTCTTCTGAAGAAAAATAGGAGTGGAAGTAAGCGCAGAGCTGAGGTTGGTTCTGGTAGTGACCTCGCTCCTCAAAACCCATCCGCTTTAAGGTTTCGGAGTACATTACCTCCGAGGAACTCCCGGAATCTACCAACACCCTCTTGATGTCAAATTTGCCTATCTTCAGAGTTATGATTAGGGCGTCGTTATGGTCGGTCACCACGCCTGCTAAGTTCGCGTCGGAGAACGTGATACTCGGCTCGCTAGTCTTGACTCTCTTGCTGGGCGGGCCCCCATCGCTCCCAGCAACCTTTCTCATAAAGACTACCCTTTTGAGATTGGACTCAAGCTCCCTGGATGTCGGACGATCCAGCGGACACACGTGGATCATGTTTATGACGTTGTCTTGTGCCACGGTCGGGGCAGAAGTGTGTCCCTCTTCTGACTTGGGTTCGATGTATTCTTTTAAGTAACCGTCCTAGACTAGCCTTTCCAAGAAAGATTTGTACACTCTGCAATCTTCGATGCGATGGCCGAAATCCAGGTGATAGGAGCACATGACTTTTTGATCACGGGTGGAAGGATCACTCTGCATCCTAGGCGGCCACTTAAAGAATGGATCATGCTTGGTTTTATAGAGCAACTTGTAGATGGGTTTTTTGAACACAGTGTGAACACCTTTAAATGACCCTCCTGGAGGGGGTACCAGTCCCTTTCGGGAGGTGTCCTTCCTTTCCTTCTCTTTTCTCCTAGGGGCGAGAGTTTTGTCTTTGTTGCCCCCCATTTCATCTTCAATTCTGGAGTATTTGTTTATTCGGGTTATCAATTCGCCCATATGTAAGGGAGTCTTCTTAGTCAAAGATTGGTACAGGTCCGTGTCCCTTGCTAGGCCAAGCCTAAAGGATGCGGCTACCATGACTTCCGAACACCCCTCTACCTCATTGACCTCCTCCCAGTACCGGATGGCGTGCTGGCGAAGGATTTCTAATTCCTTCCGCCTGAGCGTCAGTAATGATCCAATATCTTTGGGCTGCTTACTTCCCGTAATGAATTGGGCTAAAAATTGCCTCGTCAACTCCTTCCATGACCCAATGCTGTTGGGAGGAAGAGTCTCAAACCACTTTATAACGGAATCTCCCAAACTCATGGAGAACACTCGGCAGAGGAGTCATTGGTCCGAGTGATACATGGACATCATTTGTTTGTATTGCCTGAGGTGAGCTTCGGGATCAGATCGCCCATCATAAGTTTTGAACCTTGACACGACGAACTTCTTTGGTACCTTCATCTCTCAGATATCCCTAGTAAAAGGGGATTGCATGGCCTCGTCTTCTGCGTCATCCTGGACAGCCTTTTCCCTTCTTCTGAATTCCAGCTGAGCTCTGAGATCAGTTTTCACCTCAGGGAGGTGTCCTCTGAGGTTTCTAAGGTTATTGACGGGATTCCTCTTCTCCGGGCGTCGTGTGGAAAGGGTTGAATTCTCCTCGGACTTTTCCCCCGCTTGGACAGTCCTCGCTAAAGGTTGTCCCAAGCCAAAGACCTTGCCTTCTTGGAATGACCATCGGGGGGGGGGTGCTCATTGGCTCTCGGGCGCTTTGGGACCCTAGAACTCTCAACTTTGTTGTTTAAATGATTCCTCAGGTCCTCGATTTCTGTTTCTCGGATGGAACGTTCGCGGGAACGGAATGAGTCCCTCGATCCTTCACCAGGGGCTGCAAATTCGTTGAGCCGGCTTAGGATATTCACATTATCTTTTTCTAACTGCCATAGTGGATTCCCAAACTTTTTTTCGATCACTTCCGCCAATTGACGAGCCAAAGGGGTGAATTCTCCTGACCTAATGCACATGCTAGTTTGAGGAGTATGCCCCCTTGATTAAATAGAAACATTCCTGTTGTCACTAGCGTGATCCTTCCCCCACCATGATGAGGAGCTTGTAACTCGAGACTTCTTTATTGGGGGCCTTTCCCTTTCTGTCGAGTGTTCACTATAGTCACTGTTCTTTCTAGAAAAGAAACTAGAAAAACTAGTCGTTTCCCACAGACGGCGCCAGATTGTGCGTGCACGTTCTTGGACAATATAAACACAAGAACATATATCTTCTGTGGTGAATACGAGTCCGTCGATCGAGTGATCAATCTTGCTACTTGGAATAGGTTGTGAGGGCCGAAGTTGGCCTAAGAAGTGGTGATGAATTTGTTTTTATGGGTTGCCTGACTGGTCCTGAGAGGCTAAGAGAGGTTCCTAGAATAGAGAAAAATTGGTTAGAAGGGCGCCGGAGTGTTTTTCGGCGTATCCTCTTCGACGATCAAGTCAATTCTTTGAGAGAGGAGAAGAAGAAAACACTGTATGATGCTTGAGAAAAGGGTTTTTGCGTACATTTTTAATGTGTTTGTGAGGACTATTTATTCCTTACAAAACTCATCATTGCTGACAGTGTAGCTAGTAGGTAATCATTAGAGGTGGGCAGAGTGTGCACACTAATTTCTATGAGAAATGTCCTCATTCTTAACTGTTCGGGACCCCGAACCACTAATGCTTTCTCCTCGGTTTGTCAAGTGTTTAATGACCTTCTCTCGGTAAGGATGTATTAAATGCCTAGGCATAAGAACTTTTATTACCTTTCACTTTCAGACTCTTATGCATTAAATGCTATCTCATTAAGGGAAGGATGCATTAAATGCTTGCCCTCCCAAGTCGTGTGTCAGCAAGTCATTCTAGTCTTTTCGTCTCTGACCTGACACAATGTGTCATGTGTCCATTCCCTTTTGGTTGAGTCTTCTGTTTTCTTGTGCCTCCTGACACCATTTGAGTAGGACGATGTTATGATGACTAGTCTAGCCTAACCTAGACTAGTAATTTGTCAATCAATAGCCCCTGCAGGAGTAGAAACGCCCACGTGGACAGATACACCTCGGTGCCGATAGACTAACATGATTAGGGATCGATATATCTAAACTGATCGAGGGATACGTGTCGATCCATGACATATTGGGGATCCTTGATCCCTGCGAATAGTACACTCGAGGAAGGGGGTTATAGATCAACGAGGACGTGTCAAGATCACAACAGAGAGTCTCTATTGACGCCAAATACACGTGTCGTCGTTTTGGTGTGTCTAAAAATATCCCATCAGATTCTAAAAACCAAATACTAATTTTTAAGTGAAAAAGGATGATTCGAAGACAATTTATCCACATACGCAAGCAAGGTCCGGCTTATCTTTGTTTTCAAACAAACAAGCAAAAACCATGTCCACCGCCTCAAGTCGTCTAGTCTCTCCTTCCGATCACCTTTGAATGTGGAGAGAGGACTAATAAAATGAAGGAAATTGCCAACCCCGCCCTCCCCAAAAAAAAGTTCACTCTCTGCATCTTTGGGTCACTCCGGAACAGCAATGAGATGAATGGAATTAGTATAGAACTGAGATTTGGGGGTTTGGGTTGTGTGTGGTGAATTTAAAGGGGGGAGAGAGAGAGAGAGACCTGGATGGTTTTGCCAACGTTGAGAGGGGTGGCTTGAGCGAGAACAAGGTCGCCGAGCTCTGCACGCTTGAGATGGTTGATGCTGAGTTGCAAACCGGCCACCCTCCGCAGCCCTGATGCCAAGTGAGCTCCCATGCTTGCCAGTGCCTCCGCTATCAGTGCCGATACCCCTCCGTGCAACACCTTGAACGGCTGCCCCCAACCAAATGCAACAATAATAAATAATAATGATGATGAAACCATTACCAACAATTGTTTGTGCTTTCATTTCACCCTAATCTTGATATTCGAGAATTAAAGGTAAGAAGAGTAAAGTAAAGACAGCACATGGGAAAGAATTAATTAATTGAATGAATTATTAACCTGACAACACTTGTGGGTAACCAGAAGTCGGCCGGTGACCTGCTTCGGTGACAGCTCTTCAATCTCAAAGCCAATTGCGTGAAGTGGAGGATCCAGAACTTCCGTCTTCGATGCTACTGCTCTTGATGATGATGGCGGCCCTCCTGCAGCTGGTGGTGCTGAGGATTTCATATCTCTGTCTCTCGAGTGTTGGAATTTTTGTGGGGGGAGTCGTCGTCCTAGTCTGTGTTTCTGGAGCATTTAAGTTATACTCTGACTATTTTGCCGTTCACATTTTTCAAAATAACGTCTAATAATTGAATTGGGTCGTGGGTGGGTGGGTGGGTGGCTGTTAGTGTTAGGTTAGGTAGTTTGGTGCAGGGTTCGTTGCAGACAACAAAAAATAGAATAAAAAGACATTGGTACCTTACCTTCCCTTCCTAGTTCCTCCTCCTTTCAAATTCCAAATCCCCGTGATACTCGTTGTCCGAAACTAATAGGTGGTGTACGGATCATTATGGAAGGATTGGATTGGATTTGAATTTCAATCCAATCCAACCCAATGCAAAGTGATCCAAATTTAAGGATTATAAAGATGAGATTCAAATCCTATCCCAACTTTGAATAGGTTTTATTTGTTTTGTGGGTCTCATTAACATGTGAAAATAAAATAAATTAAAATAATTATTTCATCCTTGTGTAAAACAATGTGATCCAATCCTATATCATATTTGGAATGAAATGAAAAGAAAAAAGTTCAATCCATTAGTATTGATATTTTTACGACAAAAAATACAAATAAATAAATTACGCATTTTTACAAAATATTGCAATAAAGTTTTGTTCATTTATTTAAATTAATTTGTACAATACACTTTTAATTACAAAAAACATATGCATCATGGAAAAAAAATAATTTTCAACACAAATAATAAACATATCAATACAACTCAAGCCTAAGTCGTTATTTGTTTATTTCTAAAAAAATCCGAAGATGTGTGTTTAAAAATAAAATTTAATTATTTTTTTTCAATAAATAGTAATATTAATTCGAACCATATTAAATTTTTTCAATGACCCAAATGCAATTTATTTTCCATGACATGACAGGATACAATTGAAAGCTATGTAACAAATATTAATGGATGAAATTATTTTTAGAATATAAATGTGAAATATTTAAACTTTGAGGGGTGTAATTTATAATTAATTTAAATTTTTTTAAAGACAAAATAGATGACAGTTAGACTTAGGGGTATATTGATATCTATTTATATCTTGATAAATTAATATTTTTAAATTTTGAGGGTGTAAATTAAAATTAGAGTGAGTTTTCATGGTGCAAGTTGTGATTAGTCCAATAAAAAGCCATTCTTTGTTTTTTCCTCTCACCGACAGTCTCTCTGGACTGTCTCTCTCTCCCTGCTGCCTCCAATCCTCCAGTGCACTTCAAAGGGAACGACTGCGAGTGAGAGCTCCCTCGATCATAGGAGTTATCAGAGATCCCCTTTTGCAATAAGAAGGTAAACCATAGATCTGCTAGATTTGGGTTTTTTTTGTTGTTTCTTTTTGCCTTGATTTATTTTGGGTGTGCTTTTCTTCAAATTTTGCTTTGCTTGACGAAAGCTTCGGGAAAAGAACGCCGGCAGTTCAACAAGAAATTGTGGAAACTTCTCCATTTCGTTGAGGTTGTATATGTAATTTTATCATGTATCCCTTCACTAGGTTTTGAATCCCTCCATTCACATGGGTTCAGATAATCCCATGTGGGCTGGATTCCAGTGAAGGCGTAGTGGACGCCGAGTTTTTCAATCCCACGAGGAGGCCTTTTCAATTTTTCCAACCAAACCTAGGATAAGGGGACCATTCCACTATTTTAATCCAATCCCATTTCTAATCCCCTTCAATCCTGTCAAACAAACACTACCATAGGGCGGTGTTTGAAAGGATAAAAGTGGATATCACAATAAGGATTGGATAAAATAAATCGGAGGCCCACATATCTCAGCTTTGGGTTAGGCATTCTGGATTGGATTTTCGTTGGGTTCCAAATACTCGGGCCATATGAAATGGGGGAGATATCCAGCATGATCCGGATACATGATGAAACCCATGGAGTTGGGATTCAAAAGTCAAAGGCCCATCTGCCGGATAAGGAATAAAATGACTAAATTGTCATTAAACAGTAAAATTAGGTAGGATTTTTACCCCTTTCCTTCTTCTTTCAGCTGGTCCCTCCACTTCGTCAAAGTCACCTCCTGTCCCCTTCTTCAGCTGAAGATAACAAATCTCTCTCTCTCTCTCTCTCTCCATCGTCTCTATATCTGTTACCTTTGTATTTGTTTATGCATTAGTTACATACTTTAAGGTGGTCTTTTGGCGTGAAGAGTACATGCTTCCAAGAAGAAAAATTAAAATCGCCTAATTTTTTTTTTTTCGTTTGAACTGCGGAGAAGGGCCCGTTCCAGAGCAAGTGCTCTGTCTCTTTCTCTTCTTCTCTTCCTCCATGGATAACGTCTACAAGGTTGCTGGGTTGAGGGCTGTTGGGATTTTTTCGTTTGCTGGGTTGAGGCGAATGAACTGTGAAATTGCTTCATGACTAATGTTTAAGCTTCGTACATTCGGGATTCCAAAATGCTCTTCGTTGACACGTTCTACATCATGGAATTTGGAGATTAAGTTAAAGAATGAATTCTTTGTCTTGATTGCATTCACTCTCGGGTAGGATGTTGTATCAAAAATATCATTAGATGTTCTACGACTTGATTTTAAATCCCATTATGCAAGAGGTAAAAGCAGACTGGTGCATGAGGTAAAAGGCTTTCATTGATGATAAATAATCTGTGACAAGTCTATTGGCGTATAGTTGGCCCAGCAAATATGAAAAAAAGTTGATCTTTCTTGAGACCTCAACACTAGAAGAGTTATAAACTGTAAATGCTTCTTACTTTCTGAATCCATTTTCATCCTGCAATTTTAATGTGGTTGTAGCGTCCCCGGTAGCCAAATTTTAATGTGGAGTGCGTGGTAACCCGCCCTTGCTTTCACTAAATTCTATCTAATTGCAGTGTGTCCGTATGCATTTGTCTGCTTGTTAGTGAGAATTGTGCGAGTAAATATTGGGGGTTTGATTGACAGAGAGAGACCCGAAGGAGAAAACTGGAGAAGAGTGAGGAGAGAAAATGGCATAGGATCCATTGCTACAGCTACGTGGCTATTTTTTACTTGCCGCCTGTAAACCAGTAAGTTTACGGGTAAGCTGGATAGAATTAAATCCCTATTTACATATTTGAAAA